CGGTGCGGATTATTGTTGTTGCTTTGTCGTCGTCGCCCCATAGACCGCCCCGCGACCTATCCGCGACCCGCCACGCAACTTGCCCGCGAAAGCAGCCTTGCGACCTGCCCACGCGCCGCGCCGCGACCGGCGACCCGCCCCGCGACACACTCCTGCGACCCGCTTGGCGACCCTTTGCTGCCTGGGTTCTTGGTGGTTGCCTTTCCTCGCAGGCGATGTTGCTTCCCCAACCCACGACTTCTCGGCGAAAAATGAAGCCGCTCAGAGATGGAAGAAAACCCTGGGATACGCCCGAAGGGGACCGTGTTCGGACGCACCCCTATCGAGGATGGACGCCCCCCCAACTGTCAATCCCAGGGTTGGGCCCCAAGTCTCTGGCACTTGAAAACCCCACGAGGCCTGGGACAGGGGTCGACGTCGCCCCCGTTCCTCCCGCGGTGGGGCGAAGGCTGGCGCAAGCGGAGGTTGAGGCTGAGCCTGGAGGGGTCTCAGGCCCCCTCGAGACATGACAAAGATCCCGGCGGACGACGCGGACGACGACGACGAATGACGTCGAACGACGACGACGACGACGACGACGACGACGGCGACGAGGCTGTGCCCGTTACCGGCCCTCGGGATCATCACAAACGGGGCGGGTCGAAACAGCGGTCCGAGGGAACGAGTCGAGACCTCTGAGGCTGGGGTAGTAGGGTCATCTGACAGCATGCCATTTTGTCAGATGGCACCGTTGCGTCTCATGGCTTACATCGCAGACCTAGAGTTTGACACCAACACCAATATCGGCGTCGTGCTTCCACCGACGGACGAAGATCCTGATCTCGGTGATGGTGGCAATATTCTGGCTTCCAAGTTGACCGAACTATTACCACCAACACCGAACTCGAGGATCACCTTCCCCCTGTGGAGGCAACCCCCTGTCTTGGTGTTGGTGCCCATTTCCAGGCCTCCAATTACAGGCTCAACCTGCGCTGCGGGCTCGGCCTCGGCCACACTGCCAGCTGTGGCCCTTGCCACGTGGGGGGACCCAAACGGCAGCAGCAACACGATGCTAATCCACACAGTGGAGCCACTGTCCATCTCCGCGCACAGGGGCAGTGCAAGCCCGTTCGACACCATCCTTCTGACCCCGCGCTGGCCTGGACAATCATGCTGCCACGGCACAGAGCTCAACCGTCCTCCTCCTCCTCCTCCCTCCGCCTTCTTGCTCCTGCGCTTCCACCCTCCCCTCTTCCGTAGACGGCGTGGCTCAAGCCGTTGGCTCGGGACGCCCGTTCCGACCCAGGGCTCTCGATGCAGCTGCCCAGATCGGGGGTTGCTAAAGGTACCCCTGGCCCAAGGTACCCCCAGCTTCTTGCCCTGTCTTGGAGCCCCGGGGCGCTCTGAGCCTCTCGATGGGCTGCTCCGAGGAGGCCGTGGCGGCGTCTCCGAAAATCCTGGGGGCACCTCTGGCCGGGAGCCCTTCTAGCGACACCCGACCAGAGGCCGCCGCATGCGCTGGCGCCGCCTCCCGGTGCCCGCCGCCGCTGCTGCCGCGGGCCTGTGGCACGTCCTGACCCTGCGCGGGAGCCGCCCGTCGGCCCCTGGCCTCGCCACCGCGGGCGCGGCCGGCGGGGCCCCGCCCAGGGCCTGGGCGAGCCCCTCCGCCGGGCGGCTGCGCGCGCGGGGGCCTCCGGCGGCCTCGGGCGCGGCGGGCGTGCGCGGGGCGCCCTTCCCCAGAGGAGAGAGCACGCCGTGAGCCTAAACTTTTGGCGCTCCGCGCGGATTTCTTGGAGCCGCACTGAGCGAGGGGCGCCTCCGGCGCCGCCCCTGGCGCGCTCCGCGCGCCGGGACGGGGGGTCTGGCGCAGATGCAAGAAATCCGCGCGTAGCGCCAAAAGTTCAGGTTTATGGCGCGGTTCCTCCTCCTATTTCTCGCCACGCCCGTATCAGACAGAGGCCGCCGACCGCTTCTACGAGCTCGTGTCGAAGCCCGGGTACGACGGCGAGCCGCTGAAGTTCCAGTTGGCGTGCGGCACTGGCAAGACGTTCATCTTCGGTCTCATCATCCTGAGGGCCCTCGAGCTGAAGCCTGGGAGCAAGCACGCCATCATCGTCCCCTCCTGCGATATCGCGAGACAGACGGTGGCGGAAATGGAGCGTTTCGGTTTCAGTTGCAATCTAGTTGGTGATATGGGATTGGGTGACGACTTCGACGCCGATGTGACCGTCTGCGTCATCAACAGTGCATGGCGGCTTCGGGATTCACAGTTCCAAGTGAAGATCGTAGACGAGGCTCACCACACATCTCAATTATTCACCAAGGACCTTGTGCTTGGCGAAGTTGTGCGGTCCGTGAGCGCCAAGTGGTGTTGCGATTTCTCGGCAACATTCCAAGAACATGTCAAGCTGGATTACGTATACGATTATGAGACCGCTAGGCAGGGTGGCTTCGTTTCGGATCTGTGTGTTCAAATGCCTATCTTCAACACAGAAGATAGGACCGGAGCACTTTTGCAGATGTGCGCCACGAATGTAGACAAGTGGGCCCCCATGCTCGTGGTATTCAACAACGTGCTCAAGGCTAGGCACTTCGCGAAACTCTTGAGGGAGATGGGCGTCAAGGCTCTGAGTGTAGATGGATCCACTTCAGGAGAGGCACGCTCCAAAATGAAGCGAGACATGGAGAGCGGCAGGCTGCAAGCGATCATTGCGGTCAAAGTTTTCAGCGAGGGTACTTCTATCAACGCCCTCCGCACAGTCGTTTTCGGAGACTACAAGAACAAAAGTAGCCTTTGGTCGCGGCAGCTTTCGATGCGAGTTTCGCGCATTCATCACAACAAGAGCTGTGGCCTCGTGATCACCCCCGTACACCTGGATATGATTCCGGACCTGGACAAAGTTAGTTTGTTGGACTTCTTGCCCGACATAATACAGAGTGGGCGACAAAGAAGGTGTCATACCAGCACCGTAGGCACGCCATGGTTTTCTCAAGCGTCAGAAGACGAAGAAGCCTTTGAGGCTCCCGTGCGTCAAGAGAGCGCGGTCGCGGTCGAGAAGGCATTCCTGGGCGTTGTGTCTTGGAATGTGACGGAGGCTCCCGAGATCAACGTTAGCATACCATCATTTGAAGATTATGTCGGACAGATGTACAGAAGGGTCCGCAATTGGCAGCAGCAGCATAATGGGATGCTCCCACGCCCACTGCCAGCATTCACGTTGAAGGAGAAAATTTACGCCGAGCTTGCCCAAGGGGGGGACGCAGAGGAATTAGTGCTGTCTCGATGGTTGGAAACTTTGCAAGATAAGTCCTTACAACTCGGCTTTGCCAAAGTTTGCGGTCACCTGCGTGATTGGTTGGTGGAAAACGGTGAGGCTCCTTTTGGAGGTGCGCTCGCGAATGACCAATTCGAGAGAGAGTTGAGCAAGCGGTTGAATCTGGCGAAGCGGGAGTACTTGGCAGGTGATATGGCGCAGGAGGACAGGGAGCTGTTCCAGGAGGCCATCAGTGGTTTCGAGCTCTTGGTGGACGGCCGGCTGCTGCCTTGGGGAGAGTTTTGCCGCGAGTTGCGTGCTTGGTTGCAGGATACTGGTCAGGTCCCCGTTGAGGGAAACGCCGGGAACAGCCCCCGCGAGAGAGAGTTGAGCAGGCGGCTGAGTCTGGCGAAGCGGGAGTACTTGGCAGGTGATATGGCGCAGGAGGACAGGGAGCTGTTCCAGGAGGCCATCAGTGGTTTCGAGCTCTTGGTGGACGGCCGGCTGCTGCCTTGGGGAGAGTTTTGCCGCGAGTTGCGTGCCTGGTTGCAGGATGCTGGTCAGGTCCCCGTTGAGGGAAAACTCGAGAACAGCCCCCGCGAGAGAGAGTTGAGCAGGCGGCTGAGTCTGGCGAAGCGGGAGTACTTGGCAGGTGATATGGCGGAGGAGGATAGGGAGCTGTTCCAGGAGGCCATCAGTGGTTTCGAGCTCTTGGTGGACGGCCGGCTGTTGCCGTGGGAGAAGTTTTGCCGCGAGTTGCGTGCCTGGTTGCGGGATGCTGGTCAGGTCTCCGTTGAGGGAAAATTCGAGAACAGCCCCCGCGAGAGAGAGTTGAGCAAGCGGTTGAGTCTGGCGAAGCGGGAGTACTTGGCAGGTGATATGGCGGAGGAGGACAGGGAGCTGTTCCAGGAGGCCATCAGTGGTTTCGAGGTATTTGTCTTCGGCCGGCTGCTGCCTTGGGGAGAGTTTTGCCGCGAGTTGCGTTCTTGGTTGCTGGATACTGGTCAGGTCCCCGTTGAGGGAAAATTCGGGAACAGCCCCCGCGAGAGAGAGTTGAGCAGGCGGCTGAGACTGGCGAAGCGGCAGTACTTGGTAGGTGATATGGCGCAGGAGGACAGGGAGCTGTTCCAGGAGGCCATCAGTGGTTTCGAGCTCTTGGTGGACGGCCGGCTGCTGCCGTGGGGGAAGTTTTGCCGCGAGTTGCGTGCCTGGTTGCGGGATACTGGTCAGGTCCACGTTGAGGGAAAACTCGAGAACAGCCCCCGCGAGAGAGAGTTGAGCAGGCGGCTGAGTCTGGCGAAGCGGGAGTACTTGGCAGGTGATATGGCGGAGGAGGATAGGGAGCTGTTCCAGGAGGCCATCAGTGGTTTCGAGCTCTTGGTGGACGGCCGGCTGCTGCCTTGGGGAGAGTTTTGCCGCGAGTTGCGTTCTTGGTTGCTGGATACTGGTCAGGTCCCCGTTGAGGGAAAACTCGAGAACAGCCCCCGCGAGAGAGAGTTGAGCAAGCGGCTGAGTCTGGCGAAGCGGGAGTACTTGGCAGGTGATATGGCGCAGGAGGACAGGGAGTTGTTCCAGGAGGCCATCAGTGGTTTCGAGGTCTTGGTCTTCGGCCGGCTGCTGCCGTGGGGAGAGTTTTGCCGCGAGTTGCGTGCTTGGTTGCTGGATACTGGTCAGGCCCCCGTTCAGGGAAAACTCGAGAACAGCCCCCGCGAGAGAGAGTTGAGCAGGCGGCTGAGACTGGCGAAGCGGCAGTACTTGGCAGGTGATATGGCGGAGGAGGACAGGGAGCTGTTCCAGGAGGCCATCAGTGGTTTCGAGGTATTTGTCTTCGGCCGGCTGCTGCCTTGGGGAGAGTTTTGCCGCGATTTGCGTGCTTGGTTGCTGGATACTGGTCAGGTCCCCGTTGAGGGAAAACTCGAGAGCAGCCCCCGCGAGAGAGAGTTGAGCAGGCGGCTCAGTCTGGCGAAGCGGGAGTACTTGGCAGGTGATATGGCGGAGGAGGACAGGGAGCTGTTCCAGGAGGCCATCAGTGGTTTCGAGCTCTTGGTGGACGGCCGGCTGCTGCCGTGGGGGAAGTTTTGCCGCGAGTTGCGTGCTTGGTTGCTGCATGCTGGTCAGGTCCCCGTTGAGGGAAAACTCGAGAACAGCCCCGGCGAGAGAGAGTTGAGCAGGCGGCTGAGTCTGGCGAAGCGGGAGTACTTGGCAGGTGATATGGCGGAGGAGGACAGGGAGCTGTTCCAGGAGGCCATCAGTGGTTTCGAGGTCTTGGTCTTCGGCCGGCTGCTGCCTTTGGGAGAGTTTTGCCGCGAGTTGCGTGCCTGGTTGGTGAGAAGCGGTAAGCCTCCTCTTGCAGGTGTGCTCGCGAATGACCAATTCGAGAGAGAGTTGGGCAGGCGGCTGAGTCTGGCGAAGCGGGAGTACTTGGCAGGTGATATGGCGGAGGAGGACAGGGAGCTGTTCCAGGAGGCCATCAGTGGTTTCGAGCTCTTGGTGGACGGCCGGCTGCTGCCTTGGGGAGAGTTTTGCCGCGAGTTGCGTGCTTGGTTGCTGGATGCTGGTCAGGTCCCCGTTCAGGGAGAACTCGCGAGCAGCCCCCGCGAGAGAGGGTTGAGCAGGCGGCTGAGTCTGGCGAAGCGGGAGTACTTGGCTGGTGATATGGTGGAGGAGGACAGGGAGCTGTTCCAGGAGGCCATCAGTGGTTTCGAGGTCTTGGTCTTCGGCCCGCTGCTGCCGTGGGGAGAGTTTTGCCGCGAGTTGCGTGCCTGGTTGCAGGATACTGGTCAGGTCCCCGTTCAGGGAAAACTCGCGAGCAGCCCCCGCGAGAGAGGGTTGAGCAGGCGGCTGAGTCTGGCGAAGCGGGAGTACTTGGCAGGTGATATGGCGGAGGAGGACAGGGAGCTGTTCCAGGAGGCCATCAGTGGTTTCGAGGTATTTGTCTTCGGCCGGCTGCTGCCGTGGGGAGAGTTTTGCCGCGAGTTGCGTGCTTGGTTGCTGGATACTGGTCAGGCCCCCGTGCAGGGAAAACTCGCGAGCAGCCCCCGCGAGAGACGGTTGAGCAGGCGGCTGAGACTGGCGAAGCGGCAGTACTTGGCAGGTGATATGGCGGAGGAGGACATGGAGCTGTTTCCAGGAGGCCATCATGGTTTTTCGATGTCTTGGTCTTCGGCCTGCTGCTAGCCGTGGGGTAGAGTTTTGCCGCTACTTGCGTGCCTGGTTGCTGATGCTGGTCAGGTTCCCCGGTCAGGGGAAATCGCGAGCAGCCCCCGGCGAGATAGGGTTTGAGCAGGCGCTGAGTCTGGCGAAGCGGGAGTACATGTGAGGTGGCGGAGGAGGACAGGGAGCTGTTCCAGGAGGCCATCAGTGGTTTCGAGGTATTTGTCTTCGGCCGGCTGCTGCCTTGGGGAGAGTTTTGCCGCGAGTTGCGTGCTTGGTTGCTGGATACTGGTCAGGCCCCCGTGCCGGAAAAACTCGCGAGCAGCCCCCGCGAGAGACGGTTGAGCAGGCGGCTGAGACTGGCGAAGCGGCAGTACTTGGCAGGTGATATGGCGGAGGAGGACAGGGAGCTGTTCCAGGAGGCCATCAGTGGTTTCGAGGTCTTGGTCTTCGGCCCGCTGCTGCCGTGGGGAGAGTTTTGCCGCGAGTTGCGTGCCTGGTTGCTGGATGCTGGTCAGGTCCCCGTTCAGGGAAAACTCGCGAGCAGCCCCCGCGAGAGAGAGTTGAGCAGGCGGCTGAGGCTGGCGAAGCGGGAGTACAAGGTAGGTGATATGGCGCAGGAGGACAGGGAGCTGTTCCAGGAGGCCATCAGTGGTTTCGAGGTATTTGTCTTCGGCCGGCTGCTGCCTTGGGGAGAGTTTTGCCGCGAGTTGCGTGCTTGGTTGCTGGATACTGGTCAGGCCCCCGTGCCGGGAAAACTCGCGAGCAGCCCCCGCGAGAGAGGTTGAGGCAGGCGGCTGAGTCTGGCGAAGCGGGAGTACTTGGCAGGTGATATGGCGGAGGAGGACAGGGAGCTGTTCCAGGAGGCCATCAGTGGTTTCGAGGTATTTGTCTTCGGCCGGCTGCTGCCGTGGGGAGAGTTTTGCCGCGAGTTGCGTGCTTGGTTGCTGGATACTGGTCAGGCCCCCGTGCCGGGAAAACTCGCGAGGCGCCCCGGAGAGAGGGTGAGCAGGCGGCTGATTCTGGCGAAGCGGGAGTACTTGGGCAGTGGATATGGCGGATGAGGCAGGGAGCTGTTTCCAGGGCATCAGTGGTTTGATCTCTTGTGAACGGCCGGCTGCTGCTTTCGAGAGTTTTGCGCGAGTTGCCGTGCCTGTGCGGGTGCTGTTCAGGTCCCCGTTGAGGGAAAAACCCTCGAGAACAGCCCCCGCGAGAATAGTTTTGGCAGGAGGCGGCTGAACTGGCGAAGTGGCAGTACTTGGCAGGTGATATGGCGGAGGAGGACAGGGAGCTGTTCCAGGAGGCCATCAGTGGTTTCGAGGTCTTGGTCTTCGGCCGGCTGCTGCCGTGGGGAGAGTTTTGCCGCGAGTTGCGTGCCTGGTTGCTGGATACTGGTCAGGTCCCCGTTCAGGGAGAACTCGCGAGCAGCCCCCGCGAGAGAGAGTTGAGCAGGCGGCTGAGTCTGGCGAAGCGGAGTACTTGGCAGGTGATATGGCGGAGGAGGACAGGGAGCTGTTCCAGGAGGCCATCAGTGGTTTCGAGGTCTTGGTCTTCGGCCGGCTGCTGCCGTGGGGAGAGTTTTGCCGCGACTTGCGTGCCTGGTTGCTGGATACTGGTCAGGCCCCCGTGCCGGAAAAACTCGCGAGCAGCCCCCGCGAGAGACGGTTGAGCAGGCGGCTGAGACTGGCGAAGCGGCAGTACTTGGCAGGTGATATGGCGGAGGAGGACAGGGAGCTGTTCCAGGAGGCCATCAGTGGTTTCGAGGTCTTGGTCTTCGGCCCGCTGCTGCCGTGGGGAGAGTTTTGCCGCGAGTTGCGTGCCTGGTTGCAGGATACTGGTCAGGTCCCCGTGCCGGGAAAACTCGCGAGCAGCCCCCGCGAGAGACGGTTGAGCAGGCGGCTGAGACTGGCGAAGCGGCAGTACTTGGCAGGTGATATGGCGCAGGAGGACAGGGAGCTGTTCCAGGAGGCCATCAGTGGTTTCGAGCTCTTGGTGGACGGCCGGCTGCTGCCTTGGGGAGAGTTTTGCCGCGAGTTGCGTGCCTGGTTGCTGGATGCTGGTCAGGTCCCCGTTCAGGGAAAACTCGCGAGCAGCCCCCGCGAGAGAGAGTTGAGCAGGCGGCTGAGGCTGGCGAAGCGGGAGTACAAGGTAGGTGATATGGCGCAGGAGGACAGGGAGCTGTTCCAGGAGGCCATCAGTGGTTTCGAGGTCTTGGTCTTCGGCCGGCTGCTGCCTTGGGGAGAGTTTTGCCGCGAGTTGCGTGCTTGGTTGCTGGATACTGGTCAGGTCCCCGTTCAGGGAAAACTCGCGAGCAGCCCCCGCGAGAGAGAGTTGAGCAGGCGGCTGAGTCTGGCGAAGCGGGAGTACTTGGCAGGTGATATGGCGGAGGAGGACAGGGAGCTGTTCCAGGAGGCCATCAGTGGTTTCGAGCTCTTGGTGGACGGCCGGCTGCTGCCTTGGGGAGAGTTTTGCCGCGAGTTGCGTGCTTGGTTGCTGCATGCTGGTCAGGTCCCCGTTGAGGGAAAACTCGAGAACAGCCCCCGCGAGAGAGAGTTGAGCAGGCGGCTGAGTCTGGCGAAGCGGGAGTACTTGGCAGGTGATATGGCGGAGGAGGACAGGGAGCTGTTCCAGGAGGCCATCAGTGGTTTCGAGGTCTTGGTCTTCGGCCGGCTGCTGCCTTTGGGAGAGTTTTGCCGCGAGTTGCGTGCCTGGTTGGTGAGAAGCGGTAAGCCTCCTCTTGCAGGTGTGCTCGCGAATGACCAATTCGAGAGAGAGTTGGGCAGGCGGCTGAGGCTGGCGAAGCGGGAGTACAAGGTAGGTGATATGGCGCAGGAGGACAGGGAGCTGTTCCAGGAGGCCATCAGTGGTTTCGAGGTCTTGGTCGTCGGCCCGCTGCTGCATTGGGGGGAGTTTTGCCGCGAGTTGCGTGCCTGGTTGCAGGATACTGGTCAGGTCCCCATTCATGGAAACCTCGCGAGCAGCCAGAGCGAGATGAAGTTGGGCAGGCGGCTGAGGCTGGCGAAGCGGGAGTACAAGGTAGGTGATATGGCGCAGGAGGACAGGGAGCTGTTCCAGGAGGCCATCAGTGGTTTCGAGGTCTTGGTATTCGGCCGTCGAGCCAGTTGAGCGGGAGTACTTGGCAGTCTGGCTGTTCCGTGTCTTCGTCCTCGGCCTGGCGCTGCCGTGGGCAGAATCTGACCGCGAGTTGCGTGCCTGGCTGCTGGAGCTCGGTCAGGCGCCCGAGAGCTCCCGCCAGACTGATCTGGGCAGGCGGCTACACCTCGCGAAGCAGGAGTGGGTACTCGGGGGATGGCACAGCGGCGCGTGAGACGCATCCATTCCAGGAGGCGTCCAGCGGCCTGGAGATAAATCCCCCTCCTCCTCCTCCTCCTCCTCCTCCTCCTCCTCCTCCTCCTCCACCTCCCCCTCCCACCCCCTCCTCCTCCTCCTCCTCCTCCTCCTCCTTCTCCTCCTCCTCCTCATCCCACTCCCCGTAGGTCCGGCATGCTGATACATCAGACGCAACGTGGACAGTGAAGCAAGCGTGGGCCGCATGAGAAAGTTTGCCAGCGCGCGTTCACTCGAACCAAGGCTGCACAACGCGTGCCCAACCAATGTGAGATTGCTTTTTTTACCATCTGGAGCGTAACGGCCGTTACGCGGGCCACACCCTTCCCCCCTTCCCAGGTAACGGTAACGATCGTACGTTTGGTTTGGGGGGGGGCCGGTGTTCGTAGGAGGCTTGCCGGTGTTGGCTTTACTCAGGTGCCCCACCTCGCCGAAGCGTTACGGTTATCCGTAAGAGTTTCGCCCCCTGCCGCCGGCCCCCTTCTCTTACAATGGGATTTGCCAGAGTTGTGTTGGGATGTTTGTATACTGACGTGAAGCAATGTCGGGACTTCACGCGAGGGCCAATATCGGGAACGCGAATATCCCGTAACTTACGACGGTTTATGGCTTGGGTGGCGCGAGTATTATGTAATGTACGATGGTTTATGGCTTCGGGGACGCGAGCATTGCGTACTTTACGATGGTTTGTGGCCTCGGAAAGGTTTATGGCGTCGGGCTTCGGGGACGCAGATATCGCGTAATTTACAAGGGATTATGGATTTGGGGACGCGAATATAGTATAATCTGCAAGGGTGTATGGCCTCGGGGACGCAACAATCGTGTAACTGACGAGGGATTATGGCCTCGGAGACGCGAATCACATGTATTGTTACATGTCCCACGCTTCCCCAGGAACTCAGACAACGCGATCTGGGAGTGGTAAAAAGGCTGGTTTGGGGCTTTGAGGCTCCCCTCCCTCGCGCGTTCAGCAACCGTTTACAATAGGAAGCAGAACGCAGGACCGTAACATGGGAGGCTTGACTCTGGAACTGGTGCACGGAGAGCATGAAAGCCCAATCTTCGCAGCCTGGTGTCCTCGCAAAGGGGCTGGCGGATCTGACCCCCCCGGTGACCACCGTCGCGCGGAGAACATGATAGAATACAATGTCGGCCAGCGCGAACCCCAAACATCGTGATTCTAGCAAGATGGGGTGTAGAGTTTATGTGGAGCCATGCATGCTGCGGGGTTTAGGTGGTGCAACTTAAGTTGGCAATCCACGCATTGCAAGTACAGCTGTGCAATATATGTGGGGCACTCTATGTGGTGCCATGAATGTGGTGCAATATGTGTGGAGCCACCTATGCAATACATTTGACCACACTGCACCGCGTGTAACCATCTCCCACGCGCGTACAAACATCCCACCCTCCCACCCGCAACTTGGTTGGAAAACTCATAGTGAGGCAACGCCTGCAGGGCTGCACCACGCAGGATGCTTGTCGGACAGGAGAAGACGACGACGGCCACGACGACGAGGACGAGGACGACGCCGACGACGACAACGACGACGACGACGACAAGGGGAACGAAAACGACGACGACGACGACGTCGACGTCGACGGCAACGCCTTGGAGGACGACGACGAGGGTGACGACGAGGACGACGACGACAATGACGACAACGATGAAGACGACAATGCCGACGTCGACGACAAGGGGAACGAAGACGACGAAGACGACGACGTTTTGGAGGACGACGACGAGGAGGGCGACGACGATAACGACGACGACGATAACGACGACAACGACGACGACGACGCCGACGACGACGACAGCGAACGATCAGAAATGTCGAAAATGGCGATGATGGTGGCGATGGTGGCGATGACAACGGCAAGGCCAATGACGGCGCCGATGTTGATCACGCTTGTCGGTAACGATGAAGATGTTTTCGTGTCGGCGATGAAGGTTGTTGAAGGGTTCCGACACGCGCGCGCGGCCGACGCGCGCGAGCGGCCCGCGTGGCATTGTTTGACACGGATCGTGCTCCCCCCCAGCACGCGCGCAAGGGCGTTCGAATGAGTTCGACATGCGGCGCGAAAGGCCCATGTAGCAGAATGTGATGAGCACGTTGGAAAACCAGTGGTTTTGTGTAAGACTCCGGCAAGAGCGCCAGCGCAGGATTTTTTACAATGGATGATCTAGAACCATAGGTTTGTACCTGCTCTCGGGTCACTCGATTGTGAAGTCGTTACGAAAACGAAGGTCTTCGAAGGAACTTGCATGCGCGCGCGACGACGCGAGCGCGCACTTCGTATTTTTGTTGCACGGGTTCGTTGGAAACTGATGATTCTTGATAACCTAGTGCTGTCGCACAGTATTCTCTGCATACAGAGCGTTCATTTCTAATTCGCGGGCACAACGTTACCGACCCCATCCTGTCGGCACGGTTTGCTTCTAACTCGTAGCCGGAATTGGACATGACCGGAATTGAAAACTAGGAATGCGCTTGCGTGTGCGCATGTGTGTGAGCATGTGTGTGTGTGCGTGTGTGTGTGTGTGTTGTGTGTGTTGTGTGTGTTGTGTGTGTGTGTGTGCGTGTGTGTGTGTGTGCGTGTGTGTGTGTGTGTGTGTGTGTGTGAGTGTGTGTGTGTGTGCGTGTGTGCGTGTGTGCGTGTCTGCGTGTCTGCGTGTCTGCGTGTCTGCGTGTCTGCGTGTCTGTGTGCGTGCGTGTCTGTGTTTGTGTGCGCGATTGTGATTGTAATTGTGATTGTGGTTGTGATTGTTTTTGTGTGCGTGTGTGCGCGCGTGTGTGCGTGTGCGTGTGTGTACATATGTGTGTGCGTGCGCGTACGAGAGAGCGAGAGAGAGAGAGAGAGAGGGAGAGAGTGCGTGAGTGTTTCGACAGTGCGCGCGAGGCCGCGACCGCCAAAAAATGCGCGCGCGTGTGCGTTCGCGCGTGCATGCATGGTACGGGACAATTGCAAACCGTATGGCCCCGGCAAGCCCCGCGGCCGCCGCAAATCGCGGCCCAGGCCAGTGCAAACCACGGCCCTGGCAAGTTCTGTGGCTGGGGCAAACCCTGGCCCCACCAAGCCCCGGGGCCGCCGCAGACGGTGGCTGCAGGGGGCCCCAGGACCGGGGCGAATTGTCGCCCCGGCGGGCCCCAGGGCCGGGCCAAAGCGTGACCCTGGCAAGCCCCAGAGCAGTGCAAACCGTGGCCCCGGCGGGCCCCAGGCCGCGCAAACCTCCGCCACGGCGGGGTTTGGGGCCGCTGTTTGATTGCACCGCTGGTTACGTTGAGTTGGCTGTTTACTTTGGAGGGTGAAAGAGGGGGTCTGCAACAGGGGGTCTTCAATGGGGGCTGAATGGCCCATGTATGCTCAATGTATCGCTCATGTATGTGATCGGGTACGATTGGCATCCAATGCTGGCGTGGCGGTCATTGATGGCCAGTCATTCGTGCCCGCGCGTTGCCCGCGCGGTCACACGCGCCGTCCATCCGTTATCGTTCATGCGTGCGGGCGTTCTTGCATATTGCGTGTGGGCCGGCGAAGTTGAGTGCAAGTGTGTCTTGATTGTGCGGTTGATGATCGCGTATGTTCCCAAACGATGACTTTTCGACCCCCAAGACAGATTTGGAATGGGCCCCGCGATTCTCCCAAAATGTGAATTCACAGTTTCTTTTTTCCCAAAATTTGAATACACATTTTCCTTTTCCCCAAAATGTGAATTCACATGCTGGCCCCTTTCATAAAGAATCCTACACAAAATTCCAAAATGTGAATTCACATTTTCCTTTTTTCCCAAAATGTGAATTCACATTTTCCTTTTTCCCAAAATGTGAATTCACATATTGCTTTTCACCACGCTGTGAATTCACATTTTGCCCTGGCCTTCAAGATCCCAAAAACTGAGGCGCAGTGTTCCGCATGTCAGATTGGCTGGGCAGATTTCGACACTTACCTGACCGCTCTCGTGTGTTCCAGCCTTTTCTCGTTGCGCCCTTAGCGCACGTTGCCTTCGTCGCCTTTCCCGAGCCCCCCGCCACCTTGCTTCCTTTCCCCTCAAGTCTCGCGCGCGGGTGCAGGGGGGGGGCTTAAATTAGTTCCCCCGCCGAACACAGCAATCGAGGATGTATCGCCCATTCATGGCCTTAAAAAACATCATTGCCGGGACCCTGCGGCCGACCCCCTTTTTCACCCTCAAATTACTAACTGGTTACAAGCATACTCTAAGGATGAACAAACACAGCACACGTCATTCCAAGCTTTCGTAAGTCGTTATAGCGTACGCAATTTTTTTTTTTTCACAAAGCGCACTAACGATTAAGGGGCTGTTCCGCGCGCTACGATAATGCAGGATGTATTAACATGGTTGATAGGAAGTAAAATCGGTTTAGAAAGTATGCGGCTAACGTGAACTAGCCAAGTTAAGTATTGTTAAATCATGTTAAACAAACCGCTGTGCTAAAACAGGTCAAAGTATCAGACAGCGTGGCCAAAGCTAACTAACACGCCATAGGCCCGACATAACATTTGACACGCGTTATGTGCACGTGCCATAGTTAACATCGTTAAACGTATGTTAACGCGAATTGCATAACATCTACTTCGAGCTAGCATGAGTTAGTTAACCCTTTTTTTCCCGCTACTTTTTATATAGGTGAGCCACGCATATATAAATTTAGTCATCAGTGTTGTGTATGCCTTGGGTTGGGGTCGAATGTGCCGGTCATGGTGTGATGAACCAATGTTGTTGCATGCGGTTTTTCGTGATGGCTCAATCATGGTTT